CTCCAGTGGCGGCTTGAGCAGCATGTGGTCGTTGAGCCGGCGCTCTACGGGCACGGTCCAGGCGCCCGAGGCCGTCTGACTCTGCAGCAGCCAGTCGGCCGCCTGCAGGAACTGGCCCGCGTGGTCGGTGCTGGCCAGCGCGAGCCGCTGCAGCCGGCCGCCGCCCCACACGTGGATCGCCCGCACACGCATGCGGCTGGCAACGAGCTTCTGTGCGCCGCCGCCGCCGCCGCCGCCGCCGCCGCCGCCGCCGCGACCCCGGCTCGACAGGCCCTTCAGCGCGTCCACGCTAAGGTCGCGGATGAAGTGTTTGTAACCGCTCCAGCTGCGCCCCAGGCCGATGAAGACGTCGGTGCCCTGCAGGGAGCGCGCCGTCATCAGGTGAAAAGCGCAGGTGAAGTGGTCGGGTCAGCTGGCCGGGTCACACGACAGTGAAGCATCGCCACACTGAAGAGGACTCACAACACGACACTAAGTAACCATGGCGAATGAGGCGTAGATCAGCTGTACAAAACGAGTCCGCGCGGAGGTGACTTTCGATCCTCGACGATCGAAAGCTGGTGTCGTTTGAAGGGTTAAGTGGGGTGACGGGCGCGGATCTCGCCAATCGGTCCCAAATTAACCTGACAGGAAACGAAAAAGGAATGGTGGGTAACCTGGTGTTCAGGAGCCCATCAATGTCGGGCTCGCTCTCTTGGGGCCAGCGGGCGGTCGCCCATGTCAGGTCGAACCAAACAAATGGGGACTGGGAAGCCAACAAAGTACGACTCTCCAGTGCACCAGGCGGCATTGAATCTGGCCAAGCGAGCACAAATTTGTGTTCTGAATAGGATGAACTGCAAAATCAAACAGACAACGAGCAGCGATGGCACGGCTCAAATGGGAGCACGGTCGCCTTAGAGCCGCGTGTGAGACGCCCAACCCGACACTCCGCCCAGCTGGTCCGCTATTCCCACGCCGTTTGGTGCAGGACGAGATTGCGCTAAATCACCTCAAATGCGGAGTGCGCCGTTAAGCACCAATAATTGATCAGCAGATTTGGTGCAAGCAAACAATCATGACCTTTCAAAGGTCGTATCAGGTCATCGCAGGGTAAGGACCTCGTCCGACACTTAACAGCTCATCAGCCTCCTGATGTCCGTCCTGATAGCTAAGTTGGTTAGAGCGCCTGTTCTAATCGCTTTAAGCGCTCGCTGTTTGCCCTGGACTGGTATGGCCTGCGGCCGGTGCAGCGACCGTGCTAAAGCCCGGGTGACGTCAGAGGGCAGGACAGACCATGCCGAGCATTGCGGCACGTTAATCTTGCGACACCACATCATGGCGTTGACCTGTAATTGTACCGTCGGTTGCCAGGGGTCAGAGCTTACAAAACAAACACTGCTAAGCGTGAGCTCTAATCCCAGAACTATATACATTCAAAACGTTCGGAATAAATATTTACAGAAGACAAATGCACTTGCAAAAGGTACCTGCGCGACTCTTCACTATCTGTCTACGCTGACTTGAGCCAAAAATATCTTTCGTTACCTATGATCAATAAATACCGACATGTGACTTCAAAATCCCCCATGCAAGCATCCGGGGAGGATATTGCAACACTGTATGGCCTGGTTTTGATTTCATAGGGACGGGGGAAAACACACACACACACACACACACACACACACCACACAACACACACACACACACACACACACACACACACACCACCAGCACCACGCACACGCACACGCACGCGCACGCGCACGCGCACGCGCACGCGCACGCGCACACGCACACGCACATGTATATGTATATACATATAACGACCGTAGTCGCACACCATTTTCTAGTCATTAACTGTAGTGGCCATATTCACGCTAATGGGGCCATGGCGTCCACCAGAGTTCGATCCCGGGGCTCCCCTAGGGAGCCGGAGGTGCCTAACCGCTCGGCCATTATGCTCCTTTCCGTGGCCTCAGGAGTTCCGCTGCGGAGGGAGGGGTGGCACCCAATCCCGGCCTAGCCCGGCGAATGCTAAAAACGTGTACAGGACCAATGTTGCGCATTAGCAAGCGCTCGGGTGGGGGTCAATTTGAACCCCCGAAGGTTTTTCCGAAACGGTTTCCGAGCGACGTCGCGCAGCCGCGCAAAATTCTGCGTAGCTGTAGACAATTGAATGGCAGATCATATGGTATCAAAATTTTATACGTACCTTGTAAGGTCGCTGACCTGCAGCAGGTCAAGGTTAGGCCATGGATTCAGCGGTCAATTCCTAGGGAACCATTCAATCTGATGCAACAATGAAGTGTTAGACGAAGTCATACATCTCTGAGATGCTTTCTTAAGCAACAAAGCGATTGAATGAACAAACTCCACTGAAATTGGGTCAGGTATTAAGGTCAGACCAAGATCAAAACCAAGCTGTTTTATTACTCTAGGGCTTGCTGTATGAGGTAGTTTCTGGTGCACATTTCGAATCTATTGATAACAGTAACCACATTATACAATCTCCATGGACTTCTTAAAGGTCAGAAAGTCACTGACTTAAAATGACCTAGGCCAATACCTTGTTTTAGGAGCATAATGCCTGGCGTGATCTTTGCCGCTTATTCAAATGCAAGACCAAAAGCAGTCTTGTGTGATTTTGGTCATCATGACCCTCGAAAGGTCAAACAAGGTCACTCACAAATAAGCATGCGAACTTTTGCTTAGAGCAGGAGTCCAGATTCTGGGGGCACTTTGGATACCAGCCTGGAGTTTGACCTTGGTTGACTTTATTTGACCCGAAGGTCGTGACCAGGGAGCCTCAAAGTCTGACTCAAGTGACTCCATGTGTACGCCAACACACCCTGTGAATTTGGTGTCTCTAGCTCTCTTAGTTTCTAAGATCTCAGGGGGTCAAATTGACCTCAGAGCCATTCACCTCAACCGGCCACCCGGGTGCGTGTTAATAGTTCGATACGCTCGTTCTTATCAACGGACTTCAACTTCTTCACGGTTTATTCGTGCAGTCAAATAAATATTCATCTGACTTAACAGCTAAGCAATCCTACAGAATATGTAACCAGTATGCTGACCATAAATTCAAGGTCTTGATCGTAAACATCGGATTCCGGAAAACAGTTTCACGTTCGGCCGAGCGAAAATAACAACACGCTAAAATAAACTATCTGCCTGCTGCGCTCGTCCGAAAACACTAGAAGACGCAACCTACTGCACCGCCCGGCGGTAACTTGAGAAAGGAATCACATTGATAGCTTGGTGTTATGATGTGTTTTGGAGGCTTTGGGTATATTTTAATTGTTTTCTTTTCACTGCATAAAATGGAGATACCCGCTCCTCTTTCGATGCTTATTTGTTTGTTTTTTCTTAGCACGTCGCCTGCGGAAGCCACATCGCGCGCTGGTGCATGCTCGGCTCCATGCCTAAAAGTAGGACCAATTCTGGGGTCGGGCATCAGTCATCAGGCATGATGGTATAGCGTTATTCAACGAAAATACAGAGCAAACGCTTGGCTTTTTGTCGAAGTGTCACGAGTTCATGCGACACGAATCGAAGCGTGACTTTGTGCTATCGCTTTACGAACCCTGACCACCAAAGCGGCCGGTCAATTCACCATCGTTTACATAACACAGCTCAGGACACAACCGGTGACTGCGACAACTGCATACAGAGGCTACAACACCGTGTAAGCCTTCGCTTAACGCGATAACCCTAACAAAAATAAATGCTTAACTCAAAGAGCCAGTATCTGTCCCGAAAACATGTCAAACTGATCATTTGGCCGGCGCTGGCAATTCTGTAACTGAACTGACACGGTTCGAAAGACGTCCCCAAGTTGAGCGCGGAGTTAGCTCCCACACCCACCCCCCACTTTCCCTGCCCCAGGCGGCCGCGATTCAAGGCAACTTAACCGAGCGTTTCGTAATTCTTTGCTAAGCATGGCTTGTCGCGAGAGCCCCGAACCCATCACCGCAGAGGGGCAACTCTCGTTCGACCGAAATCATTAGCCGATAGTGTACCGTGCCGCGACGTCAGTGCAGCTTCTGCTCCAGCCGGCCTATCGCCAGCTGACAGTCAGCGACCAGCCCCGTACGTGCGGCTCCAAGACGCCATCCCATGCGGTGCTCCACCAGCGGAGCTGCGGGACGGCACGCGGCTGCCAGACATGACCACCTCCGCCGGCTAGGCCTGCGCCCGGCGTCCGAATGACAACAAAGGAATGCTAAACACACGCGCGCACGCGCGCACGCACGCACGCACGCACGCACGCACGCACGCACGCCGCACACACACACACACACACACACACACACACACAATGAGACCCGCTCGAGAATAATGAAGGAGTAATGGCTGGCGGTAAACGGAGCAGCACAGTGCCAGGCCGCGGCGCAATGACGTCAGTATGGCCGGCGTCCGTCCGGTGTCACAATGGGCCCGCTGAGCAGGCGCCGCCAGCCAGCGTGACCCGTGGCTCGGAGCCGGTGTCCGCCCAGCGTCGCAGTGGGCCCGCCGAGCAGGCGCCGCCAGCCAGCGTGACCCGTGGCTCGGAGCCGGTGTCCGTCCAGCGTTTTCCATCGGCTGATTCTGCATAACGCTGCTGTTGAATTTCGTGCCGTTGAAGCATGCTGCAGATTTTCGCTTCCGCACTGCACTTCACCGGCATGGGTGAAGTCAAGGTAACGGATGCAACTATCGGTGAGTATCGGGCTGTTTACCTGGCTGCCTTCACACCGACAACGTCTGCTCCCTGTCAACGGACCTCAGTCGTAGCGGCCCAAGCCGTCCGACCAGAGCTGCCCTAAGCTTGTCATGCCACGCTGTTACAGAACACAGCGGGCGCCCGGCAGGGCCAGCGCCGGGGGGGGGGGGGGGGGGGGGGGGGGGGCACGGTACTGAAACCCACCGGGCATGGGACATGCAAGGCGAGAAACCACTATAATTCCTTTAAAAACCATTCCTTTCTTGAGTGTTGGTTGCCATCACTCTGCCAGGCATTCCCTCCAGTGCAATCG